ACAAAACAAAAACCATGGCAACCTGTCAAAAAGTCAACATTCCAAGCGATCCTTCTATTTTCTCTTGTAATCAAGATGTAAGAAATGCTTATTGGATCTTTTAAAAGCTTTTACAATACAAGGTGTGAAGCCGTGATGCAAATACTGGCCATCTCCAACCGGATTTAGTGAAACTGTCTGCGTTGTTTTAAGAAGGGTTCGTGGATCTGTCGGAAGTGTATCGGAAAGCCGCTTATTCAATATTTTTATAAGCTCATTCACCACACTGTGCCTTATGTTGAATGAGGGAGCCCATAACTGTAGATACTCCAGGAGTTTCATAATGGCGATTGTCTCATTTGCATCGTGTTTAAAAACACTGAAGGGGTTTTCATTTCACGTATCTCAATAGATTTGTTTTTTTTTATATTGGTAATAATTTTCAGAGTATTTTTTGTTATTGTTGTAGTATATTTCTTATCTGTAAATCTTAGGCCTCTGATAAAGATGATGGTTGTAATGAGGTTTTGATGAAGGTCTAAGACTGCTTCAAATTTTATATCGGTCATAAAAAGTATGCCATAAAACATAATTGTATGTTTTGTTTTGGTTTTATTCTGCAGTTATAAGCAGTGATATAGAGCCACCTTACAGCTACCATTAAAACTATGAAGTCTGAGTTTTAATTTAGTAGTCATAAAACAGTTTTATATTCGACTTGACGGCCTGATTTTATGACAAGCACACAAAACCGTAATACAACCACAGGCTGCAAGGGATGCTATGATAAAACAATGATAAAATAAGAATAAATCTTCCAAGCATTTAGATTGTTACTTGGGTTATGTAGCCTGCATGCTGCGAGTCAGCCATTACCTTTCCTTTACTGTCGGCCTTGGATTGACTTACACTCTTACTGCCCTACCCTGCGCTGCAAAATGAGAATGAAAATGAAAGCATAATCAATTTGCACATCCTCCGTTAAACGCCTTTGTTCCCTCAGTAAATCCCTCGGTTTGGAATCCTCGCTGGAATCTTCTTCTGAGCCTTCGACTTTTGGTTTACATTCAGGAACAGCTCCGGCTTCAAGAAACACGATGACCATCTCGTACTCGAATTAGCCTTTGGAACATTTTTATTTTCAGCATGATCCCTCATTTTGATATCGGCGTGACTCTTTCAGTCATCATTGTGAGCTTCGATAAACTTCACATCCCTGCTCAAGGTAATCCTGTTCGTAGACGTCTCCAGGAAGTGGCTTGCTATCCTGCCTTCAGACAAACACTATCAGCTTTGCTGTCACTTACGCGATACAACCATAGAGGTAACTCTAAGACTAGTAGGTCCCGAAGAAACGTGCTCAACTTTTTGACTCAGCTCTGGTACTATCTTCGGTCTCAAGCTAATCAATTCACCCCTCGAAAATAGGAAAATCCAATAACCCCTCATTTTATCTGTCAAACTTTCATAGCGAATCAAAACAAACATAGTGTAGTACTAGAATTTTGACTAGAACGAGGTACGTTAATCGATTTGCTTGGGACCAATAGGCTAGTCAAGTAGGGAGCCAATTTAAAATCGTTAGTTTCGAATTGATTGTTGATATAACAGTGCAATCGAACCAGCAAAAAAGCGACATCAGATGCCAAGAGACTGGGTAGTCTTTATCTAGGTCTGGCGAAGACACATCGTAGTCAGAGACTTTGATAGAGACACGCAAAGAAAATTTTCGTCAAAACAGCAGCACGGTTTTTGATGGATCTTTTGGCATTGTCACTGGCAACCATGTTTCTTCGAGTGGCTTGAAATGACTTTCAAGCCGCAATGCTGTTGAGAAAATTTGAAAGTTCGACCGGAACTGATTAAAAATGAAGTGTGCCACAGCATTTTGCAAAAATAAAGCGGAGACGAGAGATGACGCTCGCTCCATGACAGTATAATTTTTGTCATATTTTACAGTTTTGCTTGCAGCGCAATCATTTTTATCACCTTAAAACCATAGAGGTAACTCTAAGACCAGAAGGTCCCGAAGAAACGTGCTCAACTTTTTAACTTAGCTCTGGTACTATCTTTGGTCCCAAGCTAATCGATGCACCACTCGAAACATAGGAAAAACCACGAAACCCTAATTTTATCTGTCAAAGAATATAAAATATTTCGTGAAAATAATTTAAATCTTTTTTCATCATTGAGAATAATACCAACAATCAATACGAAACTAACGATTTTAAATTGGCTCACCACTTTAGTAGCCTATTGGTCCCAAGCAAACGATTAACGTACCCTATTCTAGTCGAAATTCTAGTACTACGCAATGTTTGTTTTGATTCGCTATGAAAGTTTGACAGATAAAATGAGGGGTTATTGGTTTTTCCTATGTTTCGAGGGGTAAATCGATTAGCTTGGGACCGAAGAGAGTACCAGAGCTGAGCCAAAAAGTTGAGCACGTTATTTCGGGACCTTCTAGTCTTAGAGTTACCTCTATGATAATACTCCTTTTTAGTGAATTTAGCGAGCAATAATGTTTATTTACTTTGCTCGTTTGGTTCAGCGTTCGACGGTTCGTTTGGTTCTTTTTGCTTCCGTCTATGCGCGTCTCTATTCAACGTATCTGATCGTAGTCATCCCTTGGTTGCCACCCCTCAGTGTCAAGTTGGTAAACAAAGCAAATCCGTTCATAAGCTGTGCATGACTCTCTTGTAACGACAGTACCTAGTTGTTCATTTTTTCGTTTCATACCTTTGATAATAAGTTCCATTTTATTTGCCATGATATTCAATAGCAATATATTATTATATTAATATATTAATTCATTTCGTATCGCAGAAGTTGAAAAATAAGAAACAGACGATTCAATAGCAAATCTATGATGTTGTAAGATTTTCCCAGTTGATTTGTTTTGATTAAATAATTGATAACGGCTTAATAATAATAAAACGCAGATAATACGTATTTGTCTCATAATCACAAAGTTATTCCTACCCATTCCTTTCTTGAGCTGCGTTCGGGCGCGGCCGGCGCTGGTATTGCCTAGTTTGAAATCACCAGTTTTTATACATTGAGGATGATTTCTAATCCCAAGCATTGTCTATTGGTTCTCTGTGTAGTTACAGCTGATCTGGCAATAACAGAGTAGCAACCGTGGGTGGTCAATCATACTCATGCTGATAATCACGAAGTTATTTTCGAAAAAAAAAAGAATTATATTTCTCTCAGATTTCAATACTATCTGTTTACGTCATAAAATAACAGTAAACACTGGTTCGATTTTGACAGTTCAAATTGGTTCGAAAATCATTAAGCTGGGTTTACACTAGGCAAGTCAAATGATCAACTCAGTTGAATTCAATTGGCTTGAAAAGTTGAGCCTGGTTCAACTTTTTTCAATTCAAGTGAGTTGATCAAGTCAGTTGAATGGCATGGTTTACACGTTCAATTCGCGTTCAAGTCAGTTGAATTCAACTGACTTGATCAATTGACTTGCCCTGTCTAAATCCAGCCTAACGGAACTTTTTTTCCTTGATTTGTTTTCCGTCGATATTGTTTTCCGTGCTAAGCACACGGCAAATGAGAACGACCCAAATTTGAGTTTAGTTCACCCAAAATCGCCAAAAGTACAGGAACTCAGCGATGAGTAAAATTTTTCTCATGGTTTCCTGTGGAAAACCTAAAAAATCTGCCGGAAAATGAGAAAATTGACGAAAATTTTATTCAATCTCGAAGTAGTACCAATCTTTACTTTTCTCAAATTCGAGAATTTTTCCCTGAAAAATCCTGGAAAAACCTGGGAAAACATGAGGCAAATTTACTCATCGCTGAGTTCCTGCGTTTTCCAAATTTGGGTCGTTCTCATTCGCCGTGGACCAATGCTACCGACGCCAGGGAGGCAGCTCCCACACTCATGAATCGGGGACCAACGGCTTTACTTCCCTTGCGAAGGAAGGCGTGATCAGAGATGTTATGCCTCAGAACATTCCGACGGCGCCAACTGGGATTGAACCCAGGCCTGCTAGGGTGAAAGGAAATCACGCAACTCTATACTTTCAGCTCCTCATCTATCGTATAAAATGACCACTTTAAGTATGTTATTTGAAACTTAGCATTTTCAACTACACACTTATAGCGAATTCGTTTATTATTCAGTTCCAACCTGGATCGGGTATCAAGATTGGGTCTGCTTGTTTGCTGACAAACGTCAGTTTGCTCGTTTGTTTTTAAAACCTAGCTCAGGTTGAGGTTCGCACTGACAAAAAGTTCGGTTTCGCACTGGGTTGGAACTGGTTCCAACCCCGATAATAAACAAATTCGCTATTAGAAATACCTAATCTTACATGTGACGGAATCCATCTTTGGCATAAAGTATGAGACGTAAACAAACATATCATGTAAAATTAAGTGCTCCGAGACTGAAAACTTCGTAAGTACGTATGATTGAGCTGAATTTTGCGTCTATTATGACTCAATTTTATGACAAAATTGACGCTCGTATATGTCAGTCTCAGATAACCTAAATTTACATTAATTTTTCTAAGTGTGCATGTAAAATCGTTAACTTCACGCAGAAGTAATACAAACATAAATAAAGTATTAATTTTATTTATTTCGGGCCTAAATTTTTATCATTTTATCACAGTATTGTTCAAAATCATCACTTAATTAAATGACCGGATAAACTAACCGTCCGGAATTTGGCCTCCTACCGTAACGTGTTTTGTTTTATAACCCTTCATATTTGTATTTTTTCCACCCTAAAGCTAGGTTTAGACTAGGCAGGTCAAATGATCAACTCAGTTGAATGCAATTGGATTGAAAAGTTGAGCCTGGTTCAACTTTCTTCAATTCAAGTGTGTTGATCGAGTCAGTTGAATGGCATGTTTTACACGTGCAATTCGCGTTCAAGTCAGTTGAATTCAACTGGCTTAATCAATTGACTTGCCCTGTCTAAACCCAGCTTAACGCGATCACAAATGCTCGAAAACAACATCCCATGATCTAATCAGTCGCCTTCAACTATCTCGCAGGCACACTTCGAAGCTCGATGCACGATGGAAACGTGGCTGGTTATCGGCGTATCAGGCGTTACCAACGGAGGCAAGACGACGTTGGCCAAATCCCTCGAGCACTACTTCACCGATCATGTGAACAAGATCATCTTCAAGGAGAACATCACCATGAATAAGGTAGCGCTACTGAGCCAGGATGACTACTTTCTTCCCGTGGACAGCCCCAAGCACAAGGTCATCGAAAAGCTGGGTCATATCAATTGGGAGATTCTGTCCTCGATCGATACGGACAAAATGTGTCATGACATTATGAAAATCCTGGGTCACAAGTTCATTCTGTACAACTGCCATCAACTGAGCAAAAGCGAAGGTGAGAACAACATTGCCGAGCAGGTTGATCCGGTAACCGACGAGGATAATATCTTTGCCGATCACTTTCTGAGCAACTATCTGAACAAGTACGACGACGGGTCGGCTGAGATCAACCAAAGAACTACCAATCTCATCAAAAAGTCCAAAAATGATTCATTCCAAAACATGAATATCAAGCTGAACGTGCTGATTATAGAGGGTTTCCTGATATTCAATCATCCGTTTACATTGGATTTGTGTAACGTCAAATTCCATATACACCTGCCGTATGAAAAGTGTTACGCGAGGAGGATTGAGCGAGTATATGACCCTCCCGACGTGGTGGGGTACTTTGAGATGTGCGTATGGCCAATGTATGAGAAACATTTCAAGGAATTCAAGGATCGTCCGGATATGTTCATGCTGAACGGAGAGGTGCCTAAGGAGAACATTTTGAACTATGTCCTGAACTGTATCAAAGATTTGCTGTGAGCAGAAAAGGAGAAGGGGGAAAAGTAGCGAATGATCAATGGGTAGCGTGCAGACGCGGAAAACGGTTCCTTCTAAATATAGTATACATTTTCTCTATTCAATGTAAACCAACATTATGAGATATTCTACCTGCGAGTAGTATTTTGAAGCCGTAATTTTTTATACAAATTTTAATCAATTAAACAGGAATTACGATAACACTCTTGGTGCATTTGTTTCATTTCAAGCCCACAAGACAGGTTAACTATGCTCAAATTAAACCGAAAATAATTGTGAAGGTGTATTTTAATGCTGTTGTTGCTGATGACGCTAAACAACATATTGTTGTACCGTGCGGGACCGAAATCCGTGTACCACCGAAATTCGTACACCCTGTTGAATTTGTATGTATCATAACAATGTAAATATTACACATGAATACAGATTCATGTTCATTCATGCATTAGCTTGATTACGCCAACAATTAAGCAGTAGGTCATGAAAATAAAATTAGAAAAATAAAAACCTAATCACGTGTAGGGCTTCCCGAACAAAGTCTGAGATCAAATTGAAATCTAAACTTGTTGTTGTGATTTCGCTGATAATCACCCCTATTCTGTATTTCGTTTCGAACGAAATTCTCATACAAAAAAATATTTTTTTGTATGAGAATTTCGTTCGAAACGAAATACAGAATAGGGGTGAATGATTGCACAGGTAGCAGTCGTTTTGGTCGTTTTAACGGTTAAAATATCAAAATTGAGAGCAAAAAAATCTTCCTATGACATCACAATGAAAACTATTTTTGCTATCAGTGAGAGCAAACTGAAAACTCAATTTGAAATATTTTTTTCCTGTTGAATAAGAAATGCTCTTCCCGGAAGCTACACCTAAGATGGCAACCCCATCACGGCGGATAGGAGACCTTAGGCCAACCACCTACTGTCTCTGAAACCTTTACAATTGTTACAGAAACCAACAGAGAAAGACATCGAACTGATTTAACGGCAATGACTTTTAGCGCAAAACAACGGACACGAATTGGATCATGGAATGTATTGACGTTAGCCCAGTAGGGTAAACTGGCACAACTCGCCAACGAGGCGCGACGCATGAAGCTAGAAATCCTGGGACTGAGTGAGGTTCGTTGGCCAAACTTTGGAGAACACAAACTGCCGTCGGGACAGGTACTACTATACTCTGGTATTCGAGGTGAAAACGCTCCCCGCCATCGTGGAGTTGGTCTCCTACTTAGCGTCCAGGCAAGTGCTGCGCTCATCAAGTGGGAGCCTGTTAATGAGAGGATAATCGTTGCCAGATTTAGAACACGGGTTCGTAACCTTAGAATAATCCAATGTTATGCGCCAACCGATGATGCCGAGCTACAGGACAAGGAGAATTTTTACAGTCAACTGAATGCCGTCGTGGATAAGGTTCCAAAGGGTGACATCAAGATCTACACTGGCGACTTCAATGCGAAGATCGGCTCCGACAACACGGACTATGAGCGTGTCATGGAACGCCATGGTCTCGGCGAAATGAGCGAGAACGGTGAGCTGTTTGCAGAATTTTGTGGCAATAACGACATGGTGATCGGGGGCTCGCTCTTCCCCCATCGGCCAGTGCACAAAGTCACGTGGGTTTCCCGTGATGGACATACCGAGAATCAGATCGACCACATCTGCATCAGCCGAATATGGAGACGGAGCCTTCTTGATGTCCGGAATAAACGCAGCGCCGACATCGCGTCTGACCATCACCTTCTAATCGGTGAACCCGAGGATGCCAGTGAAGGACACGACTGGACAATTGCTTACCGACCCCACTGACCAGCTGAAACGCTGGTTTGAGCACTTCGAACAACTTCTTCAAGTTTCAACGGCCAACCAGCCATCAACATCTCGGCATGATCCGCCTAGGGTGCGGCGCATCACTCGCGTCAATTCCGAGGCCCCATCATTGCAGGAGATTGAAGCAGCTATCCGAAGCTTGAAATCCAACAAGGCTCCAGGGGTCAATCGCATATCAGCAGAGATGCTCAAAGCTGACCCCATGCTATCCGCACAAATGTTGCATCAACTATTCTGTAATATCTGGGACACAGCGACTTTTCCGGCCGACTGGATGCAGGGCATCTTAGAAGGTCCCAAAGAAGGGGGATCTGACTGTGTGCGACAATTGGCGAGGCATCATGTTACTGTGTATTGTTCTCAAAATTCTGTGCAAAGTTATCCTGAATCGGATACTGGAGAAGATCGACGTGACTCTCCGACGGCAGCAGGCAGGATTCCGTGCCGGAAGATCTTGTGTGGACCATATTGTCACGCTCCGCATCATCCTGGAGCAGGTCAATGAATTCCAAGAGTCCCTTTATTTGGTATTCATTGACTACGAAAAAGCTTTCGACCGTCTCAATCACGAGAATCTGAGACGCAAGGGAGTCCCGGATAAAATCGTCAACCTCATCGAAGCGCAGTATGAGGCTTTCACGTGCAGAGTTCTGCATAACGGAGCCTTGTCCGACCCTATCCGGGTAGTCGCTGGTGTGAGACAAGGATGTATACTGTCACCGCTACTGTTTCTCATCGTAATCGACGAGATCATGATAGGTGCAATTGACCGTGTACCGAACCGTGGGCTGCTTTGGCAACCTATCACCATGGAGCATCTCAACGACTTCGATTTGGCTGATGATGTTGCTCTACTAGCACAACGGCGCTCTGATATGCAGAGTAAGCTCAATGGCCTAGCCAAACGCTCCTCTGCGGCGGGTCTCACCATCAACGTCAACAAGACCAAATCGTTGGATATAAACACGGGCAACTTTACGGTAGCGGGGCAAGCAGTGGAGAAGGTCGAAAGTTTCCAATATCTTGGCAGCCAAATAGCGTCGGACGGCGGGACCAAGAGCGACATAGGTGCACGAATCAAGAAGGCTAGGGCTGCCTTTGCGAGTTTACGAAACGTATGGAGATCCAACCAGATAAGTCAACGCACCAAAATCCGAATTTTCAACTCGAACGTGAACTCTGTGTTGTTATATGCCAGCGAGACGTGGTGTGTATCAGCGGAGAACACTCAAAAGCTGCAGGTCTTCATCAACCGATGCCTGCGGTATATAATTCGTGCCTGGTGGCCTCACAACTGGATCTCGAATGCCGAGCTCCATCGTCGATGTCATCAGAAGCCGATAGCAACAGAAATTCGAGAGCGAAAGTGGAGGTGGGTCGGCCACACACTTCGACGGGGCGGAAACGAAATCTGCAAGCAAGCGCTGGATTGGAATCCAGCAGGACATCGCAGCAGAAGCCCAGGGGCTCATGGCGGCGGAGCCTCAATAAGGAAATTAAGCAAGTCGATAGAAATCTGACCTGGTCCCAGGTCAAGGCAAAAGCGAGCAGCCGCCCAGGATGGAAGTCTTTCACGTTGGCCCTTTGCACCGCTGGTGGTGCACAGGACCCTTAAGTAAGTAAGTAAGATAACAAAACAATTATTCAATTTGGTGTTATGCTAAGGCAATGAAAACAAACCCGCAACAACAAATTTTTGTAGAGCAAATGTACAGCAAAATTAAATCAAAATTTGGCATCAAATTTGTCAATTGCGTAAACTGAAATCAAATTATTATTTCAGTTTGATGTTGATACAGTGGGTGCAAAAAGTATTCGTCTAGCTGCATGCTTTTAACAAAATGGCTTTTAAAATCATGTTAGGGGAAAAATAAATAAAACTAGTGTTCAAATCTGATAGAAGATTATTTCCCAAATCTGTTTCATTTAAAATCAACACAAACACATTCGATTTGCGATAACACAAGAAATATATAATTATGTTTAACTGGTAGTCTTGCGTCTAAAGTATTCGTCTACATACGTTTTTATTCAATGTTGTCTTGAGAAGAAAAGCAAAAAGTAGATATTAATACTTAGTTGGGTTTCCCTTTGAATCTATAACTGCTTGCAACCTTCGTGGCATGGATCCAACCAAATTGGTTGTGACGGAGGATGGAATGTTGTCCCATTCTTCTTTCAAAGCTTGTTTCAATACATTTTTATTTGAAATATGCCTTTTACTGATTTCATCATCCAGTTGTGTTAGCCGTGTGAAGTTCGAACGTGATATCACTATGGTAATGATCTTCATCGTTTGGATGTTAAAACATGAATGTCGATTTATTCGTACTCTTTCTTTTACATTGCAGTTTCCTACTGGAGGAACTTGGAGTCAATTATGTATTTGTTATTTACTGATTTGGTTGTTCGACTGGTTTTATGGAGATTTCGTTTTTTTGGCTTTCTCAGTCTAGGGTAATTCAAACAGTTAGTTTTGCATTGCCCCTTGCAAAACTAACTGTTTGAATTACCCTAGACTGAGAAAGCCATAAAAACGAAATTTGTTATTTACTCGATCACCAATCAGTGATCGATGTAAAAGAGAGAGAAAGAGATAGAGAGAGATAGAGAGAACCTAATGGAGAAGGCCGTAAGCATCGAGTGCGCTTGACAACGACACTTCGAATGCGTCGTTCTAGAAATGTAATACGAGCAGGACACTTTTGTGCCATGTCGTAATTGATTGGAAACTGCTGAGGGTCTTCGAACTGCTTTATGCAGTCATTTGCATTTGTTGCATAAGCATTTCGAAGGCATGATATTTATTGGTTTGACGCAGCATGGTGCCGGTTGTATGAATGCTTTTATGTTACTAGGTGGGATTTTACAGCATGTGCCCCACAGTATCTTCCAAAGATGTTCAATTGGGTTGATATCTGGGCTCTGTGGGGGCGTTTTAAGTTGTGTTGGAGTATTATATAGCAGGCACGGCTTAGTATTATGAGCATTTTTTTTCCCGCCATACCGTGCGTCGGCCATCTGATCTAAATATGTTATATTTGCTTTCATCCAAAAATATGACACGATTCCAAAAGTCTTCATCCTTCAAATGGTGTTCCTTGGCAAAATCAAGTCGATTCTTACGGTTTGTTTCATTCACTCAAAATTTCTTGCGAGCTACTCGGCCATGATACCCATATTTTGCAGGTATTTCTAACTGTACTGGTACATACTATACCTTGATTCCTCTTCGTTCTAACTCACTAGCAAGCTTTGGTGCATTGGTTTCTTTATTTCCCGAACAATAAATCGCTCATCTTGTTGGTCAACGTCCGAGGACGACCACTCCGTGGTTTATTTTGAAAGGTTTTTGTTGTGCATAAGCGATC